CTCTGTGAGTCACTAACGGCCAGCAAATATGCATTTTTGGTTACGGTCCTATTTCCTATCCCTAAACAACCTCGTCTATGTGGCCGCTGGCTTGAATTCCTGCATTTCGAAGGAGAAGGAATAACAGCAAGTTCACAACTGTGTGCAAGGAATCAGCCGTCTCATCTTGGTTCGCAGGAGGCTCGTTTAAATATGGGCTGATCCTTCTGGAAAATTTGGCTGCTCGTCCTTGCTCTCGTTGTCGGCTTACTCAATTAAAAATTATTCTTGGGAGGGTAACGGTAGTGAGCTGTCTATGGTAGTGAGCTGTCTATAGTAATGAGCTGTCTATGGTAGTGAGTCCGGTGGAGAGAATTCATCCACAACTCTGCAAACTGGCATTCAAATCTGCCTTCATTTTGTTAGCAACGCCCAACCTTCAACGATCCAATCAATTCCCGAAGTATGAAATCAAGCCCCGCCCTTAATTTTTTTTTCTTCAAATTTCAGAAGTCTCACTAGGAAGTTATGACGTCACGGCGGCGCATGGGTTCCCTCGATCGAAAAGCTATGGATTTTCCCCATAGACTTTTGGAAAATCGCAAAAAATAAGATCTGTGTTCAACAAAGAGTGACCCTTTGTGACGTTTTGTCTATCAAAATGATCTTTACAAGTTAATACAAAATTTATACATTTTGAAGCCTAGCTATATAAAGTTTTAAAAAAACACAAGCAGACACAATAAAGTTAAAAAACCACAAGCAGGTTAAAATTGGTGTGTTTTATGTCATAGATCAAAACGTGAAAATATTTAGAAGCTTTGTTAACCACAGACCTTTTTTCAGGCGATTTAGCAAAAACCCATTTAAAAAAAACCATAGACTTTAGGGCAAGGGAACCAGAAGTGCTAAAATGCTAACTGACTTCCGCGTTTTGGCCTACAAAGTGATGTCGTAACTTCGGCACTCTATAAGGAAAAATTTCCACTTCCGTTTAATGACGACTTTAATGTTAACTTAACTGAATCTTAACCTTTTTGCTATACGAGATACAGCCAATTTGATTATAGCCTACTTAAAATAGGTGGATTTTTTTAGTGTACATATTTACACATATTTATTGTAAACTTGACTTAAAAATGCATATTTGTGAAATTAATAAATGCTATAAATACATGCTACAAAATTCAGTATTCAGCAAGTATTAGTCCATGTGATCTAATGCATTAACACACTATTGTAAAGAGTTACCAAAGTATATAATGAAGCAAATTTTAAACATGAGTTTCAACAGTCGTAATTTAATTATTTGCTACATTTTACAATAAATTGTAGATAAGCACTCTCCAAGAAAGCAAGCAGAAAATAAAAGTTTATCATTTTAAATGCTGAGATTTGTTTTAGGGTTTTATTTTTGCTAGGGAAACTGATTTCCTAGTTCCACCTAGTGGGCAAAAGCAAAACCATTAATTCTTTGGATTTATGGAAACAAACTCAACTTTCACTAAATATCAATCCACAAACACTCAGGTATCTAATACATATACATTGTAACTAACCTGTTGTAAAAGCACAAGGGTCTTTTAGAAATCAATATGTTCCTACCTCATGGATGAAGTCCCTGGGAATCTAGGAAAGTAAAGGGTTGAGTGGATTTAGAGAAAACAACTCTAAATAGCAGCAAAATGGTGGCTGAGTGGGAGGCTGTAAAAGTCCTCCTCTCTCATACCACACTGAAGGCAAGGGAGGCACTATGGGGCTCAAAGTTCAAAGCACAACAGCAATTAAAGCCTCTATATGGGCTATAGAGAAGGCTATAAACTATGACCAAGATCTTTATATGATGCAAAAAGCTTATATCTTAATATGTTACAACATACAGAAAGAAAACAAACAATATCTATAAAATATTATAACAAATACTCATCTTACTGCTAAAAAGAGGAGCACAAATGTCAGCAGAGTGATGAAAAAAAGTTTTGGCAAACTATTTGCACACTGACATTGCCTCCTTTAAGAATTGTTTAAGAAGAGTCAATCACGTCAGCCTTATCTTGTCCATCCATTATGCTCAGATAAGCAAGATATGCCAAAAAGGTGAGTTTGAAGAATTTAAGTGACTGTAATGTAACACAGAGAGGGTCCAAAGTGACAACAGGAAAAGCTCTGTGTTAGGTAGCAGCTATAAATAAGACTAAAACAAACAGCACTATAATTGTACATTGACTGCACGGTGGATTAAACTAAATGTTATTCAAGCTATGTTATTACAGGGCTCTAAAATGTGAGGTAAATGTTTGCTTTATTTTTTCATGAGGCGGTTCTCTGAATCCAAGAAAAAAAACCAAAAAAAACTATGAATTCACAGATATGATAATTTTTGCCAATACAATTAATCAACAGTTATTTATACTACATATCAATCCAAAGTTTGACTGATTCTTTAAAAGTCCAAATAGATGTGCTTCAGGTGACACTAAACGTAATATACAGTAGGTTCAACCGCAGAAAAGTCTTTCTTATCCAACAATAATTTAATATGCAGAGGAAAAATAACCTTCACAAATAGAAATAATAAATATAGCTGCAAGCACAATTAAAGGGCCAAGCACAAAAAAGTCACAATGAGTTATGCATAGCCGAGAGCTTCAGAGCAAATGCAACAATGGGTAAAGACATTTTTAGATTATATTAGTCAAAATGGCTGAAAAATCACAAATACATTGAAATACATTGACTTGCAATATGATTTGACCAATAGGTGGTGCTGCTACCAAATTGAATTCACACTGAAATTCACACTGAAAACTTGTGTTTTCAGTGTGAGGAAACAGTGACACTAAATGTGGATCTGTACACTGTTATTTCTCCAAAGCAAGATGGATTATTAACCCTCCACATGTTTTCACTAAGGCCTCTTTTCCAAATCATGTCAAAAATGAGCCACAGCACTCTCAGAAATCAGACACTTGATTGAGGAATTTTAAAAATTGCATGTGTAAGTGTCTCTAAAAAGACACTAAGACACTTTTCATTTAAAGGAGCATTTCACCCATTTCAACATTAATCTTTTTTGAAAATGGGTCATAGATGTAGTCAAAATGTAAAAGAAATGTTGAATTTGGTGCCCTCTTGACCGAGAAAAGACTTTATAAAATAACTTTACCGCACAATGCATCACATTGCACAGCTCTGAAAGCCACTCCCACTAATCCAGAACAGCGCAAACATCAGAGAAATCACTCCTCCATCTACAAGACTAGCTGCCACCAGACATTGAAATTCATTTCACACAAAACTTCTAGTTAGTTGGATGTGGCGACGAGCAGGACGAGGCCCGAGGGACGTGAGAGGACGGCGGCGTAAGTGATACTGAACGACACTTGTGAGACGCACCGTTCTCGCATCTCTCACATAGACAGTAAAAGAAATGGACACAGCGACCCCATAGACTTGACTGATGTACAAGCTATATCCTCACCGACCTTGTCTTAAAACTGATCATACGATACAATGCCTCCTCGATGCTTTGTCGACTACATGCTGCTTCTTGTCTTGATGACGCATGCGCCATTAACTATCGTTCAATGAACGCGTTCAGGCACAACACTCCCACCCACTGACCTGTAGGTCTGTAGAATGAATGGGTCCCATACCCTGGATAAATGCTGAGCTAGTGTTTGTACTCTCAACCCATATACAAAAAAAGGGACTTCCAGCTTTTTATGACGCAAAATGACAATTTTTACGTCATAAAAAGCAGGAAGTGGAACACTTAAATCCTTATTTCTCCCATCTCAGGGGAAAATAAGGGAATAAACCATGACCATTCAAAAATATGACTGGGTTTCTAAAGATATAAAGCTTAATGCAAATGGGTGAAGTGTCCCTTTTGAAGCAAAGTACTGACTATAATTTATTGCTACATACAAGTGAGAGAGAAAGAGAGCTGTTTTGTGTATATGAGAATAATTGTGGTTATCTGAAACTGCAAGGATTCACTTATAATTTTGTATTCTCCTCAGCACAGTAGAGTTAAGATAGCAGCCATATGCAACCTGCTAAGTCTACTTGCTCAGATAATTACTCAATCTCTGTGGCGAAGATGCTTTCTGTTTATATTTCCTGCCTCGGAAATGATGCTGGCACGGCAAGGCAAATGAGTCTCACCATTTTTCAATGTCTGGTTTTGCAGTCAACCAGAGATAAATACACTTTCTAGAAAACTGTTTCAGGTCTTAACCACAACATCAGAGGCAAAAGGAACTAACAAATACATGCAACACCTAACTAAATGTGTTCTAGCGCATGATAAAATCATTTTTTTCTGCGAGAAAGAGAGAGAGAGAGGTGTGAAGTGTTTTTTGGATCAGATCTTATGCAAGCCTTACGCAATGCTGGCCTGACCACAGACATTGTGTTGCATGCATTTATGTTTGTGATCTAGACCAGCCACTAATTACTGCATGTTTGATTTTCCCCATCTGGCTTTCTTGCAATTGAATCCTTGAACATTATCTGGATGAATATATTCAGGAATTGAGCAATTGAGGTCTGAAAAAAGTACTTCCAATGTAATTATGGCCAGAAATAATATGTAATGCATAACTTTCTCTTTCTGCTCCTCACAGAATTAACTGGTCCATTAGCTATTATTGGTTTCAGGGAGAGAATATTTGTGTGAAGATTAAAGTCTACAGGAAGCCATAAGAAAGAGAGACAGAAAAAAAGAATATGGTCATGTAATAGTTGCAACAGTTTCCCTCAAATCAACAGGTATAAAAGTTTCTACACTATGCAAATGATGGATTACTGAAACTCATCTGAACGTTTGCCACATCAAATGTAAGAAGGAAGCTACATAGAAATATGTAAAAAATATAATAATAATTAAAAACTGAATATATAATGAAAAAATGAACATGTAATGACACATTCTGTTCTCCAATTCCATAAAATTTCCACTTCACACACACTTTTATATTGTGTAACCCATATTGTTTTTGAGCAAACACACTTACCTCCAGTGGCTGTATACTGCAGGCTGCCTCTCTTCCTGAAAGGGGACGTGGGTTTGCCTGAAGGCAGCTTAGAAGACATTTTGGCTGGAAATTCTCCAGAGACGGACAAAACGCTGGTTGGAAGGCACAGAGGAGTCCTTAGCAGGGGAAGAAAGAGGGGGCACGCTAGCTCCAATGGGGCTTTGAATGCAGTAAAGAAGGATGTTCAGATATGTTTGTGTAAGAGAGATCCCCCGCTCTTCAGATGCTGCAGTGTGAGAACTGGCTCCTCCCCACACCTCCCAGTGCCCAGTCACACACCAGCACATGCTGCCTGCGTCCTGTCACTCCGCACGGTATCCATGGAAACCTCAGAGCCAGGTGGAACGTGACATGAGAGTCCAAATAATGCATTGTGAGGATCGTAAAGGAATGCTCCTCATGTCACTTTTTCATAGCAATGACACGAGAGGCCAGACGCTGGCTCGGGGCTCAATGCGTAGTCAGCCAGAAGAGATGCACCATGTGCTGGGTGGGGGAGGTTGCCCACTGTGTGATGGGTAACCGCTGGAGTCATGTCTGCAACATGTAGTAAACCACAAATGAGAGATGCACTAAAACTCTAAAAACAAAAACAAAAAAAATGTAGGGATGAGCGGCTAAAATATAGACACACAGGAAAAAAATGAAAAGCCATAAATCATATGGATCATAACAGCCAAAATCTTTCTAATTATAACTGATAGATGTCACATGACAATTAGTTTTAACTCTCTCTCTCTCTAAAATAGATTCAAAAATTATTATTTTTTTATATTTAATTCGATTTTAATTCCATTTCAATACATTCAAATTTGATGAATAAATCTGCATTCCATTCACAAATTCAGGAAAGGCCATACTCAATTAAATTTCGAAAGCCACACATGCTGTCACATGCTCGTTTTAGTAGGCCTTTACGAAGAATGCCTGAAAAATGCTAGTGACAGCATGTACATCGAACCTCATCAGCAATGTACAGCGTGAGGGGTCTTTACACAACAAAGGAATGTTTCTGTCTCTGTGCTGACTGACGTGTCTGCAGTATAGGTCTGCAGCCAGCGCAGTCAAAAATGCAGCTCCAATGAGCTCTGGAAACATTAGCATTAATTAGCTTCCAAGCAGAGCCAAAAGTAAAATATGCATTAGGCTACTGATTATCCTTTCTCAAAAACATGTTTTATGTCATTAAAGCTGCAGAACATAGGGTCTTCGAAAGAAATCATTCAACGGGTGAGTGAATTTTGAGAGATGCTTGCTGAGATTGGCTTCCTGATAAGCCAATGTGTAACAAGCAGAGAACACTAAAGCAATGGGTTTATACCCCCCTCTTGTGGAAACTGACAGTGATGCATTAATTGCTATGTAACCAAAAAAAGATTTAATTTGCACATAAAATCTATATTTTTTGTATGTGTGAGTAAATATCCAATGCAATCAATGGGGCAGAGCATATTACTGATGTTAACAAGCACAATGCCTGTGTCATGGCCAAATATCTCACACGTATTGGTTACATGTCTAAATGTAATTCATTACACGCATCGATTACATTAAAACATGTTATTCTCACAATAGCAGTAAATTATCCATAATTAATCGATTCTTCCTACTATTTTTCAAATCTTTTTAATTTTCCTTTCTAAAACCTATACTGTTTGTATACATTCAGGTTTGTGGAATCACACACACGTCAGACCAGCCTCTAGTCATGTGACTATCACAGAGATCCACTGAGCATTTGATCAACGGATTGACAGAAATCAGTTCTCTTTTCAATAGTGCATATCTAATCAGCTCCTAATGAACACATTAACTATTATTTGAATTATCAAATAATTCACCATGTATTGTCTTTGGAAAATTTAGTTTTCAAGCATATTAAAATGTATAAATTCATTTATATGTAATAACAGGGATTCCCTAATTATTTGTCATCTGAACCTTTTTGCCCCAATATATTTACTTGAAGTACCCCTGAGATTGGAAGTTAATAAGTTTAGTTAATAATAAAATTAAGTCAATAATAAAATTACATTGACAGTTCAGATTCTGATGTCAGTAGTCACATGACACACACACACACACACACACACACACACACACACACACACACACACACACACACACACACATATATACAATACAAGTTTTATTTATTTAAAATTTTTACAATTTAATTAATAGCTTTCCATTAAGCTCACAACCCCCAGTCTGAGAAACCCTGACGTATAATGTTACATTTAATGCACTTCATGTTGTTGATAACAATGGGAGGAATACATTTTCTTTCTCTTTGTATTTTTACATAAATATGGTACAAGATTATCCCATTCAATGTGATAAACAAGCTTGGAAAAAAGTAATCTAAAAGTAATTAAATAGCAGTCAGATTATGCCTTAAATGTGTAATGTAATGGATTATGTAACCACACCTACAATTGTTATGTAATTTGGAATCAGTAACTGACAACAATTTGTAACTAATCTATCCAGACTGTGTACAGTGTACACCCAACACCTTTCTATGAGAGTCTTTAATGATTCAACAGTCCTTCTACTGAAATCTCTCATGTTGTTTAAACTGTGTCAGGTCTGAAAGCATTTGGGTCTCTGTAAAAGCATGCATTTAGCAGTTTGTTTGCGCATTTGAAACAGCGGGGGTGAGATGCTGCTGCACTGTCGTATTTTAATTGCATTAGCATCAAACATGGTGACAACCGTTTACACATAAGATTAAAATAACTAGCATGCAGCATTGAGCATTTAATATATAGTGATATTAGTATGCATTCAGTGAGCAAATATTGTAGGCAGCTTGCAGAAGAAAAAAACTACTGTAACGACACACACAAAAAAAAGATATATATTTTAGTACTTCCTAATGTCAATGCCGCTGATAAGAGTTCCATGTGTCTCAGCCGTGTGTCTATGGTCTACTAAGCTTGAGCTTGTTCTTTATTCTAAGAATCCCCTCCTCATTCATCAGTTCTAACAAAAAGGGCAGGAAATAATCATTTAAATAATCCCCCTCCACTGTTACCCACCCTGATCCACGGAGGCCTCGGCTAGTAATCTTGTCAGCAGCATGGAAGCTGTGCTGGAGCGTTAGAGGCAGGGCTGGACCACAGAAACCCTAATGAGATTGGCTCTGATGAAGAGAAGGATACCATGATTAGCTTGCTATATTCCTCTTGGAAGCATTTAGGGATTTGTGTGTTCACAGCCTGCCACAAGCAGTAAGAAAAAATCTGCTTATCGAAAGTGACGTGGGTTTAAATCTCGCATACACAGAGAAGCTGGTATGTCCAATGATGGGGAAGCATTTACATGACTGCATGTGACTGCATGTGCTCCCGAGTGGGAGGTTCTAGATACGCTTCTGGTTTTAGATCAGTGTAAATGGATTGTTTAAAATCAACTGTAAGGAGTTGAGGATTCACTGTGGAGCGAATATTGTTGATTTTCCTTGACAGTCCATTTTGCAGAAATTTTGTGCTGGTTCACACAGAACGCGGTCCACTGCTTTTTAATTGTTCTTTCAACTTAAAACTGCAAGAGATGGACGTATTTGATCGCAACTGCGCCGTGTTTTTATTACATTGTGTCATGTAGGAAAGGTTGGGCTGACTTTTAAAACACTTGACCTTTCAATATATCTCAACACAGTGAATGAATGACTATATGCTCATCTTAAATTTGTCATTTCATCTAAATATTAACATTGTAAGATTTAGTCAGTCAAAACTAGAGACCTATGTTGTTAACAATGTTATTATTTTTAATTAGCCTATAATTAATGGCTTATTATTAAAGGTACTATATGTATTTTTTTAGCGCCCTCTATCGGTGATGTTTCAGATTGCAACCAATTGATTACAAGAGCGCGCGTGCTCTTGTGCTCGCTCGAACACAAGAGTGAGCACTCATGGACGGTGCACGGCCATGCTGAGACTTTCAACACACTGGAGAAAGCATTACACAACATGCTGGAAACTCATGTAAACTCCCACTGCAATGTTACAATAATAGGCTACTTTTATCAGCTTGACGTTGAACTAATTCCCCATGCTCGTACCATGATAACGTTACATTTGTGGTGTTATCTAGCATAGTGCATTTCACTAACTATTTGTGTATCTTTCACAATCAGCACTGTCAACATAGGTGAATGTATAATATAACGAAAACGGTTAGTGAACTAGACTAAACAATTTAAGTGTAACAGTAAGATTGTAGGAAGTAACATTACTGAATGTGTCTGGAAATGTGTATTATAAACAATATGATATATACGGTGTGTGTCCACTACAGCGGCAAAACTCCGCTCAGTGCCGCTGGCAACGCTATAACGCTAAAGTCTCCACTTTGGGGTGTGTCTGTTGCGAGTTTGTTTAATCTGTTTTGTTTTCAACATATACACACAGTATAATCATCAGAGATGCACGCGATTACATTCGGAGATAGATAAGCTTTGTTTACATAAGTGCCCCAAGATATCCCGTCATTTTTATAGACTTTTAAAAACCCAGCCAGTATAATCACAATGAACACATCCAAAATTATTTAACGTAGCGTAGCCTATAACAACTTCAAAGCGTCTAATTTGTAAACAAAATTATTTACGAACTAAATCCAGCATAAACTCCGGCACATTTGCATATTTTTAAAATCTCAAAACAGACGTTACATTCCGAACCGCACATCAATTGACTGCCGACCGCATTTTCGCTTGATATTTGCATAAAGTTAAAAACTGGCCAACCTTTTTGACGCTTTCGGTCGCTCTCAACCACTCTCAACGCTTTCTCCAGTCCGCTGTCAATCCCATAATGCAATGCGCGAGCGTGAAGCTTGACAACGCTCGCTCCGTGCCAGTGGCACGCACAGTTAGGCTATATTTTTTTGAGGGAAAGGCTAGTGTTCATGTTCACATGTGTAGTAGCACTGGCTTTAGCGGCTCTAACTTAACTTTTCCCCATCATTCATCTGACGATAGACGTCTCGTGATATTTATTTTAGCCCAACTGGATTGCATTAGGCTATTAATTCCCATGATTTTGCTTATAAATTCCGACTCAGCCATGAGCCTACCTTGGTGATCACGCAGATAGGTCTGGAGTGGCGGTACGTTCAGAATTCGCTAAGAAGCTAGCTCACTTCTTCTGATGAAAGTGGCCAAGAAAAACAAAAACTGAAGGCAAATGCAAACATGGGGTTTCAAATTCTTAAAATTATTTAACTTTTTAAAGTTAACATAGTTAAAAGTTAAAATAAAGTTTTAAAGTTAAAATAGTACAACTATTTAAAGAAACAGCCGTCGAACCAACAAAAACAAGTTTTTCAACAAGAAAAATAACAATGACAAGGCCACTTTGCCAAGGGGAGGAGAGTGATCCAGCGACCAGACTGCCGGGACCATAGAGGACCTAATGGAGCAACACAGAATAGAAAAGGAGAGGGTGTTACACAACAAAACAAAATTATAAATGAAATAAAATAAAAATGTTTCAGTTATGTCAGGAGCAAGATATTTATTTATCAAATATTTTAAGTTGTGAAATTTACAAAAAATAACTATTTACTATTTACAGAACTAAGGCGGCCAGAGCCTATAACCATTTGAAAAAGCAGACTCAACAGAGGACATAGCAGGTAGCACTATACAGTATACTTGGGACAACCCAATCACATCACAAACATACTGTACGTTGTGTCATTACCACAACAGCAATTATTATAACAGCCCTAAGTGAACTCAAAACATCATGAAGAGTGAGAGAGGAGGATCATGTACTCTGACCTCTTACCCCAAGTCAGAGGGACATTAGTGGTTGGAGAGAATTTGTCACCCGCTCTCTGTGATTTTCAATGATGTCCGAGTTCTGGCAGCCTTGGTTGACATGAGGCTGAAAAAAAGTGTTTATTTTGTTAAAAATTCTTGTTTAAAAAATCTTCTTACCATTTTGGATGCTTGACCATGTTTTAGGCTCATCCTTGATTCCTTGATTCACTGCTGTAGCCTGTCAAGTAATATACTATTTGTTTTAGACTATACTGAATAATACCTTGAACAATCCTTTTGAAGAATGACTATTTTTTCTAAATCCTATTCCTAACCCACTTACAGCCAGAGTTAGAAGCACTGAAATGAACATTAAGCAATTTAATAATGGGCAGGACTCAAAAAACTCCAGCCAATCATTTCCAAGACCACCTAGAATCATTGGGCAGTCAATGGCAATCAAACAGTTGGAACCAAACCCCTCTACGCTGTGCATATACAAATGAAGACCAGTATAAGCATAGCAAAGGGCCTCTGATACAATATACTGTACTTAAAGCATACTAATAAGCAAAAAATAAAACATCAACAAACTTTCTTCTCCTGCATTCTATTTCTCTGCAATCCAGCAGAAAGCTTATTTATTTCAGGTGTGAAAGAGCCTTTAAATTTGACTAAATTTATTTATTATTAAAAAAAATATCCCAGCCCGGGTGAGAGAAAGTAACGCATCAACGATGTAACGCATTACTTTCCATTAAAAGTAACTAATTAATGCAATTATTTACTTTGGGGGAGTAATGCAGTATTGTAATGCATTACTTTTAAAAGTGCTTTTTAAGATCTTTTCTTTAATGAACATAAGTTAGCAATAACCGTATTCCGTAACAAAATGACTCGAAAAAGATTTGTTTGTTTTGATGAACGAGTTCGAATAGGAGAGTCACGAACAGAGCATCACAGAACAGAGCAAGGCGAGCATTTGTGCTTATAAAACCTAAATATTTTTTGGTGAAATGGCCGATCGTTTCGCTAGATAAGACCCTTATCCGTCGTCTGGTTTCTTTTAAAGCCCTTTAAAGCTGCACTGAAACTCTCATTTGGACCTTGAACCGCCTGGTACCCAAGTCAATTACATGGAGAAAATCCTGGAATGTTTTCATCAAAAACCTTAATTTCTTTTCGACTGAATAAAGAAAGAGATGGACAACTTGGATGACAAGGGGGTGAGTAAATTATCAGCAAAAGTTTTTTTAAAAGTGAACTGCTCCTTTAAGAGTTGAAATCACTATTCAAAACTGACCAATTAAAGCGCCACATGAAATTGGTTTATAGATCAGTGAAACACACATAGAGAGAAAGCAGCCGCCTGATGTCAGAAAGGGTGGCATAAGGTGCTGTCTGCAGTGTAGTAATGGCAATAGTAATTTTGGACTGCATTACTAGGTTGAGTCATTTAATACAAGCTTAAGGCTGGGATAAAAATAAATCAGTCTTCACAACCCAATGAGAATAAATCTTATTGAGGATAGCGGATGGTTAATGCAGGTTCATTGCCCTAAGCACAGTGGGAGATCTGTTCAGTGGTGTTAAAGATGATGTTAGAGAAGACAAGCGATCGTTTGGCAACTTCAGAGCTGATTTTACCACTCCCATCTTTTGGAAACAAGACACACTGACCCGTAAGTCCCCCAAGATCAAGGTTACATAACGCTTGAAACTGGCTGTGTGTGTAGGCCTATCACATGGACAATGCTTTACATGTGTCAACCCCTCCGACAAAAAGGTCCGCCAAGGACAAGAGTAAAACCCTTCATCCTCTGACCTCTGCATCTCTCAGAACTAAATCAACATCAGAGTTCTAAATATCTATAAGAATTTTTCTTGTAGATTGTAGAATTTGTAGATATAAAACATGCATGATGGCATGTCTTCATTTTCCTAAAACTTCAAATATTGTGTATATATCAGTTAGACACAAATCTGAGCAAGCTCCTATTGATATCGCACACACTTTAAATCACACTACATTATCTGATCAATGCACAAGAAGCATTGCTCCTAATTTTTACAACCTTCATTCCTGTCCTTGTTAGCTGAGCTAATAGGATTGGCTGGTTCACACAGGAAGATCAGTAAAGCCCTCCCCAATCCTAAGCTAAGACTTTTGAGGTGGACAAGGAGGAATTAGAGGGGATAGAGCAACCAAAGGAGGAAGCAGGGCAGTCCGCTTCAGTCTCTGTCCCTGTCTCTATCCACTTGTCCATCCCGAGGCAGGTCAGTCACACCTAGGAGAGGAATCAACACTTTTGCAACCCTCCCCCTAATTGTGTGATCCAAGGTACAGAGCTACCTGCATCCATTTCTCTGTCAGCAAAGAACAGGGAAAGCCGTCAAAATTTCTTACCTTGAGGAACTTGACAGGGAAGCGTCTGACGACGAGATGGGTAGCGGAGCGAGTGCAGAGGATAAGGAAATGGCCAAGAAGTCCAAAGAGCTGGAAAAACAGCTCCAGGAAGATGCTGATAAAGAATCCAAGACGGTCAAACTTCTGCTGCTGGGTAAGAAATCAGTGTTTGACTCCTCCAGTACATTGGTGTTGAGTTAACCAGTTACTGATGCAGAAACTTCAGAAGCTTTATGTGCCTGCAACGGGTGATCACTGATACTAAGTTGCAAGTGGGATTAAAAACCTAAGGTTATTCTTCTGATTTTTTAAGAGTTATAGATGCACTAGAGCAGAGTGTTAAGACAATCTGTAAGCAAAATTCAGACTTACAAAAGATTTGAGACAACCACAGGTTATGTAATTATTTAATAAATTAAACATTGCATGTGTAATCAGTTGACTTTATTATTGCATACAAATGTTTTTCCAAATCATGTCGTTTTGTGCCATTTAACACATTTACTTGCGATTATTTTTACATTTATACATTATCCACATCATCAGCTCTTTTTCAGTATTTTTTTTTTTTTTTTTACCATGAATGATCTTCATGAATTCATTAATTTATGTTTTCAGTTTTAAGGATTTTCGAAATTAGCTTTTGAAAATGTTTAACATTTTCACTGGAAGTGAAGTCGCCTTAAAAAATCACAACCCAAGGATCCCTGTGAATTGTGGCATATTGACAATAAGACCTGAATCCGATTACCGTGATGGTTTAAGCCCCGATCCTCTTAAGCTCAGGTTCAGTTTATCTTCCAATGGGAATGAAAAACAGAGGAGGCCAGTTTCAATGCTCCTAACAGTTTGTTACATCAGGACGCTTTAAATCAATGAGCAATTTCAGCTAATCGTTGAGAGACAGATGCATTGATTAAGTACTGACCTGATTTCCTCCAGCTCGACAAGCCACTTCCTGTCTGAGCAGGAAGTTTGTAGCCTGCTGTTCTCAAATAATAACAACATTGGTAAAATACAAAGTTAGAAGACCAATTAACTAATTTAATTAAGTACAGATACATGTTGCGTGAAGTGAATTTTGGAAATTAGTTTTGAAATCACTTCTCTTGCACAGTAAAAGTCAAAGAGTGTGCGTGCTTATATTGGTAGTGATGTGTGTTCATTTCTGACAGTTAGGAAGTAGACAACCGTTTTCCACCTAATCTAATCTAGTTGCTAAACTAAGCAGTCATACAGGCAGAGATGTAACAGGGATGACGCAAGTTCTCTTAACACATCACACCACAGCTAACTCAGGACGTAAGGGCACAGAAGAGTGACAGTTGCCACGGGAGACGGTTGAGCCCCACCCCCTCGCCCTCGACTGACTGAAGCTCCAAGACGAATCAAAGTGTCAGTGATCTTCTGAGAAGCTTTCCCTAACACAAATCCAATTGGGTCACTTTATAAGCAGGTTAAAGAGCCTTCCTCTGACCTGGACATCAATGACAATCTATAAGTTTTCCCTGACAGATTATCTCTGCTTAACATGACCTCGTTATTAAAATATAAAATAAACAGTTCCATTCAGAGAAAGAGCTAAACATAGACATATACCGAGGCGATATTCAGATCAATATGACTTGGACAAAGACCTTCGAACTAAGCTAAAAGTCACAGAGGGAAATAATTTGGTCGAAATAAATCTGAACTGTCCTCATTTGTTCTTACGTACACTCACACATGTTTCTCGCTCTGTCTTGTAGGTGCTGGTGAGTCAGGGAAGAGCACCATTGTAAAACAGATGAAGTGAGTATAAATGCATGCAACATGCTCAGAAGAGCCCATTAGAGGTTGCGGGAGCACATTAGGGATATACGTTTCATCTGAATTTAAAATCCGTGCATTCTAGCTGAAATATTTCTTAACAGTTGGTGTGCATTTGGGAAATGCCAGCACTTGAATTCATTTTTCAACACCTTGTAATGCCAATCTGTGACCACCAGGTGGTAGTGAATGTGGAGTCTGTAAAGTGCATGTATACAAATTCACCTACAAATCAATGAAAAACATTGTTCTTTTCCCCCCCAAGAATTCTCCATCAAGGTGGTTATACAAAAGAAGAACAAATGGAGTTTCGATCTATTATTTTTGGCAACATCCTGCAGTCTGCTCTGGCCATCATCAGAGGCATGGAGATGCTGGACATCCAATTTGGGTCACCAGCAGCACAGGTCTGCCAAACAACTCCAAAAACACCAATGATTAGTTTGTGGACATTCACATACTAACAAAATTCACACGCTGAAACCCACTGTTAAAGTCGGCATGCAATGAAAATGCACCCTATCCATTTTCGAAATAGTTTCGAACAGTTTATCTGTGCATATTTCATTTTTTACAATTACCTCATTTTCTATTTATTTGACCTCGTAATGGTTAATCAAAATGTCAAAACTGGACCTTCCAGTGAAAATCTGTCTCTACTTTCATTTCATTGCGACATATTAGATAAGCAAACCAACTGGTGACTGACCATATGGTGCCTAACAGTGTCCGTTTTACTGTCCCATGCAGGAGGATGGTCAGAAGCTCCAGAACCTGTCTGACTCCATTGAGGAGGGCACCATGCCTCCAGAGTTGGCAGATGTCATCAAGAGGCTATGGAAGGATTCAGGCGTCCAGGCTTCTTTTGAGAGAGCTGCTGAGTACCAGCTAAACGACTCCGCCGGATAGTAAGTAAAACACTCAGCAGGGACAGCAATACCTATTAAAGGGATACTCCACTTTTTTTTTTTTTTTGGAAATAGGCTCATTTTACAACTTCCCTGGAGTACAACAGTTAAGTTTTACCGTTTTCGGATCCATTCAGCCGATTTTCTGATATTTAGAAGAATATCAGTAACCAGGCAGTTTCTGGTCTCATTGACTTCCATAGTATATTTTTTTTCCTACCATGGAAGTCAATAAGACCAGAAACTGTCTGATTACTGATATTCTTCTAAATATCAGAAAATCGGCTGAATGCATTTGAAAACGGTGAAACTCAACTGTTCAACTCTGGGGGAGTAGTAAAATGAGCCTATTTCCAAAAAAAACGTGGAGTATCCCTTTAAGTACAGTTCCACCTGAGGATGTGGTTAGACCATCCGTTTCTCACTTTGAATGCAGTACAGAGTTGTTATGCTTTGGAGATTTTCAGTACTTTAGCAGATGTACAATTCAGGTATCTTTAAATGAATTGCTGACTTATCTTCCATAGCTACTTGGCCGAAATGGACAGAATCTGCAAATCCGACTACCTCCCTACTGAGCAGGATGTGCTGAGATCTCGAGTCAAGACTACTGGTATCATTGAGGAACAGTTCGGTTGCAAAGAACTCCATTTCAGGTGTGTCTTACGTGCCTAAAGTGATTGAAGCAACCTTTGGGCATGCTCTGATAAAATTGAGAGCCACAAAAATGGTAATGTAATGATACCCAAGACCAAAACTGTAATAGTACTATCCATGTAAAAGGACTATTTTAGGTAGATTTCAGCAAAGAAAAATTAACCAAAGCTTTGAAAGAAACCTTGTCATGTTCCCCTGGGCTGCAGGATGTTCGATGTGGGTGGCCAGAGGTCTGAGAGGAAGAAGTGGATTCATTGTTTCGAAGGTGTGACTTGCATCATCTTCTGTGGAGCCCTGAGTGCTTATGACATGGTGCTGGTAGAAGATGATGAAGTGGTAAGTGCTTATCTTTAGCCAACACAGATAAAAACAAAGATTCTTTATTGGTATCTGTGGTTCCATGAAGAACCGTTAATGCCCCTGGAACCTTTCCATTCCACAAAAGGTTCTTTTTAGTGGAAAAAGTGTTGTTTTTTTTAATCATTATTAAAATGTTCTTTTGACTGTTAACTTATATTATTTTGTTCCTAATGTTTTCCCAGAACCGCATGCACGAGAGTCTCCATCTCTTCAACAGTATCTGCAACCACAGGTTCTTCGCCACAACTTCCATTGTGCTTTTCCTCAACAAGAAAGATCTCTTCTCGGAGAAGATCAAGAAAGTCCACCTGAGCATCTGTTTCCCTGACTATGATGGTGAGTGAGGTCTCTATATACATAAACACAACACCTTTAAGCAGTACTTTGACCAGGACTTGACTGTTAACTCACACTCCTATCATTCCAAACCTGTATGACTTTCTTCTGTAGAACATAAAATCATCCTGGCCATTCCTGGCAAACAAAGACTGGGACTGTCAAGCTTCAGAATGACAAAAAGTAAAAGTACCATGAAAGTATAATACATTAGGTCATCTAAAGCCATATGATAGCTTTGTGTGAAGAACAGATCAAAATTGAAGTTGTTATAATCTTGATTTGACCAAGCTCTCTTCGGCAAGTTGACTGACAAATTAATCATTCTATTGAGTCACATCTTTTCAATGAACTAACTGACTTGAACCAATCACAACAACTAACTAACTATTAGTGACTGTTCATGGTATGGCTTCTTGTGGCTGGTATAGACCTTTTATAGTGCTTTTGCATTCTTTTTGAAGCTTGACAGTCATTCACTTTCATTCTATTGAAAAGATTTGTCAGGGTATTCTTTAAAAATATACCTCAGCAGAAGATAGAAGGTCATACAGGTCATGGATCAGCACAATGGTGAGTAAATTCATGTCCATTTTTCAATGAACTCATTCATTAAAAGTCTGAATTGTTTATCTATTGCAATTGGTACTGGAACTGTAAACACAAATACAGCCACTACACCATGGGAGACTATAATAATTGATGAACATCTCAATTTTCCAGGTCCAAACACATATGAAGATGCCAGCAACTATATCAAGAATCAATTTCAGGAACTGAACATGAAGAAGGGAGTGAAGGAGATCTACGCTCACCTGACCTGTGCCACAGACACAAAGAACGTTGAGATTGTGTTTAACGCTGTGACAGACATTATCATCAAAGAAAACCTCAAGGACTGCGGTCTGTTCTGAACATCGACTTTTTCAAAGGTACGTTCCCTGAAAAAAATAAAGCAGATTCTTACGCCCTGTTTACACTGGACACGAGTGGAACGTTAAAAGTAAATTTCCGACTTCAGTTGACGGATTCCCCCATTTCTATTCTATTCAGAGCTACTCCAGCTACTTGATTTTAAGCACAAATATTGATTTTATGTGACCCTGTCTATTAAATTAAACCAGCTTTTGTTTCTAATAATTTGTATATGAATTAAAAAGTACAACCAGACTAGTCATAAGTAATATTGTATCAAGCTATTTGAAAATAAAATAACGTTGAAATAAACTTGGATGCATAGATACTCTTCATTTTACTATTGCTGAATTCATCTGCCTGGTTTCCTGGCTTCCAGTGTAGACTGTTAATTTTTTGTCTGAATAAAATAATTACCTTTAAATGGAAGCTTGTTTTCACAACTTAATAATAATAATAAAAAGGTAACTGCAACTTTGTATCTCACAATTCTCAGAATAGTGTGATATAAAGTACTGTAGCAATTGCGGGTGATAAAGTCTTTATTTTTATATCTGGAATCCTGATGAACCTTTTTTTAGCGATTTAAGTGAAATGTTATTTTCCAGATCTTTCTACTCCATCCCCACCTGAATGATTGGATTTAATCTGATGAAGTTGCCACGGTAACAAAAGAACATCCACAGGTGGCATGAAGGTGAACTCTACAGCAAGCAGTCAAGTGTGGTCAACGGATCCCCGGCAAAGAACAACCTCAACATCCCAACCAAACCTCAGACACTAGATCCAGATTAGACTAATGGCCTCTGCTCTCCAAAGGGACTCTAAAAACATTTCAAACAGTTCAAACTGCTTATAGAGTCAATAAGAGAAGGCTTACCAAAGAAAGGGGACTTTTGATGCTATGAGTTAATGACGCTTGTAGAGAAGCCTCCTCTCACTGTTTTAATGTTATAGAGGTTTGACTGTTAGATGTTTTGTTTTTTTCCATTCATTTCCAGAAAAAGAAAAGTAAATTTAATGCAATTGAATTTTGCTGTAATAAAGACATTATAGTGGGACATCAGATTCCCATGATAACAATTAGAAACACGTACAATGCTGCGCAGTGTCTGGTCTCCTTTGAGAAAGGAAAAACCTGCATACCATCAAGACCTGATTGTTTAAATTTAACCAGCTAACGCAATATGTGAAAGATGTTCCTTTTTCAGCCCCAAACATAGTAGGGCATTATGTTATGTAAATAAGAGTAGGCAAACAAAAATTCTGTTTCAAGAAGATTCTATATAAAATATATATGGAGACATAAATATATATATTTATGATACAGTATTACAGTAACATGTGAAAATTCTAGAATGGCCTGTTGCTTTATTTTAAACCTGAGGTCTGCATTTGTGGAGATGTTCTGGAATGTAAATGTAGGCACATGAAATAAAGACTTGCATCAATTCCACTGGTTGTTGGTGTCAGATTACTATGTGCTGTAATTGTCTGGCTATTAGCGCCATAGTAATTGTGCATTTTCACGAAAGAGACCCCTTACATTGTATTAATTGGGATTTTCAAACACTGACCCCATGTCAGATCTAATTTTGAATGAACCACAATACAAAACACTCTTTTTGCTAAGAGCATTATATAATAATAAAAAAAAAAACAGCTAAAATTAGTAAAGATATCCAGCAATCGTGACACTACACATAAATACACATTCAGAGCCACAGGCACAATCAGAAAAAAAACAACAACTGGAATAGTAGGAAATAAAAGAGCCAAAATTGGCAATTGCACAATATTAAATCAGATACACGGTCTCATTAAAATAAGACAAATGGTAAAATACATTTAGGTATAATTCTTAGTGTAAAAAAATCTGTATAGTTGTCTTCGCCGTTTGAAGACTAAAATGATCAAATATTCTTTGATCTATTGTTTTAAAAAATAGATTATTTTCAACTGATGGCTGTTAAAGTTAATTTCTGATCATGATTATGTATATGGGTTTACTTAAAGGTTTGCATAAGTATTTTTTTAAAACTGCAGCAATTGGTGACATAATGAGAAACAACCTTTAAGCCAAAACATTTTAAAATAATTCCCAATGTGTTAAGAAACTAAAACCAAGTTTATAGCATATTAGTGATTCAGTGCGATCATTACCATTAGTTGTTCATTTGCACTTTTTATGTTAAAAATAATTCAAATAAAGTAGGGATATAAACAGGAAATCACAGATTGTTGAATGAATTCCAACTAATTCATTGAGTACATCAAAGTACCAGTGTTGGAAATATATGGATAATGGCTGTCTTGCGAATATTTTAGTGACTATTTGGCATGTTCAAGATGTTAAAGACATTAGTCTTAAATCAATGGAAACCCTTTTCATATTCAACACAGGTATTACAAACCAGATCACATTGTGTCAGTTTGTTTAAAAAAATACTAAAATCCACAGGATTAAACAAAAGCACATTAAACAAGTCTTAGAAAAGGCTGTACTCCAAGACATGAATGTAAATAATCCGGCCATCATGCTCTGTTTTCGTGGCATTTGTTCCCAAGTGCTTGACCAAACAGAGGGTCATAATTTTAGCCCCATTCAGAAATGCATCTGTGAGAAAAGTATTTGTTCACACCTTTACAGGTTCTCAAGAAATACAAAAATAGTGTGTTATATAAAGCGTGTTATATTAAGTGATTCATGTACAATAATTAGTTTAAAAAAATTATCCTGTAGCTGTGTGTTTGGGGTTTAGGCTGTGAATTACTAGTTACAACAATAACATAACGTTTCACTCATCATAGCAACTTAATTCTTAGAAATTCTGCTGTTTGCAAATAAAGTCTTAAAGACAGACCTAAATAAGTAATAAATTAGCAAATAATCACTATGAAAAACTTTCTTTCCCATAAGAACTGATACACTGTTATTAATATGACTATTATTGAAATCTTAAAGATATTTGATCTAATGGGGGTTGGCATATAGTCACACATAATATCGTCAATTTTGTATTTTGATCTATGCATAGTAGTGTTTCATGTAATACCTATAGAGGAATATTGGAAATAAAATAAGACTAAAAGGAAGTGGCAAAGAAATAATGACCATCACAGACTGTCATTATGAATAAAAGAATAAAGAGAAATAAAATGTTTTAAAAAATCCTGTTCATGGTCATGGGTACCGCATTTAGCGTGAAGGGTGCAAGCAGCGGGGTGGCAGTCTCTCTTGCTCGGATAAAACCAGGAACAACCAGCCAGTGAAGTTCAGAAATTTTCCATAAACAACTGTAAAAAAAAAAAAAAAAACTGTCTTACTATTAAATATAGAAACATTTCGGGTAAACATTTCATGTTTGTTTTAAGGTCACCAGGCGTCTGAGGTACAGTATTTCCAAATGTATGGTACTAAATTTAGGAAAAAATAAGTATTGCTGAATCATGATTTGTGTCTAAAACATCTCAAACAGTCCTATAGGTTCTGGCCCTTTTCTCTTTTATTGTACTTACCTTAGCACACAGATGATGCTTCAATAGAGGCCACACTCTATGAGGTTATTCTTGATGATGACATCAGTGACTGAATCAAACACAAACTGTACGTTCTTGGTGTCTGTGGCACAGGTGAAGTGTGTGTAGATCTCCTTAGTGTCCTTTCTTTTGTTCAGATCCTCAAACTGGCACTGGATGTAGGCCGCGGCTTCCTCATATGCATACGTTCCTGAGCAACACAAGACAAATGTGAGCTTAAGATTTGTGTGATTAACACCACAGTCCAAATGAAGATTTTCTGTTTCAAATAAATGCTACTCTTGAGCTTTCTATTCAGAACCCTGAAAACAATGCGTCACAGTTTAAATATTAATAATATATAAGATACTAATAAGAATAGTATTCTTTAACTATTATTGAAAGAAATCTTTCTTGAGCAAACTAGAACGATTGCTGAAGTATCATGTGACTTCAGACTGGAGTAATGATGCTGAAAATTCAGCTTTGCCATTACAGGGATTTTAACATAATTAAACATAGAAAGATTTCTTAGTGTTACTCCAACAACTTTTTAAGAGGGAAGATGGAGAATGTCACATCAATGAACAAGGCAGAGGATGATTAGGCACAATATAAAAATATAAAGAATTTTTGGAGGAGTAAATTAAAGCTTTTTAGTCCAGTATGAAAAAAAGACTAATTCATCCCTTTGAAAAAATTAAGTTTTCTATAATGGTCCAGCCCATTGGCCAAAAATATTGGTTTCAATGGAATACATTGAAGACAAACCAACATCTATAAATATACTGTGTTTTAAAAATAAAGAGAGAGGCACTAAAAGACTCAACTTTCACCCAGCCCTGAAGGATGATGCCTAGCAGACACAAAACCTCTCCTCATCTGATAGGCTGTTCAAACTTAACCTCATGTAGTCCCTTCTTCATTTATATAACTTTTTTTAAACAAGCAATAAATCCACTCTGCAGCTTCTCCTAAAGGCTCAACCAATATAATGATGCTTGACTAAATATATGATTTACTGATAATCTGAAGTTTTATTTAATTTTAGACGTGATTTAAATAGTTTTTCGGGACCATCTAAAACTAAAAGATAATACAACTATTGTTGAATATGCTACTTAAGCCACTTAATAACTTTTCAATCTACAATATTTCAACATTTTAATCTCACCAGAGTATTCTGGGTAGCATATCGTGAGTGGACTTTTCTTGATCTTCTCTTCGAACAGATCCTTCTTATTGAGGAAGAGGATGATGGATGTGTCTGTGAACCACTTATTGTTGCAGATGCTGTCAAAAAGCTTCATGCTCTCATGCATTCGGTTCTGTGGACATAAGAAGATCAACATATTGCTTAGAGACTCATTTATCTGCTCACTTTTGATTGAACATTGCTTGGTTTGACAACTGAGATTTGCATTAAAAATGCTTAGTGCCGTGATGGAATTAAGGGTTATTTAATTCTACAATGTGCATTTAGTTCCGCTGAAAGTCGATATGCAACCTAAAAATATCCTTTTATGGAAAAAAAAAATTGTGTATTTAAAGAAATTGGGTCTCTTGAGGAAACCATGTGGGTTTTCCATGAGCTATGAGAAAATCACTTTAACACAACCAGGACAAATGGAACCATCCCCTGTGGTGGCTATGAACAAAAATAAACTAGCCCTGCTATTGCTTTTCTCACTGATTATCATCTTTTACCATAAAATTTGCATTAATCCTTCATATCAAATGTGTCTTTGAATTGGTAGGATCGCCATGGAAAGGAAACTCACCATCTCTTCATCTTCAGCTAGGACCAGGTCATAGTCGCTGAGCGCCACACAGAAGATAATGGCAGTGACGCCTTCAAAACAATGAATCCATTTTTTCCGCTCTGAACGCTGACCTCCAACATCAAACATCCTGTTCGAATACAAGCGGATATGATCAGGCCATGAGACAGACAGACAGAGAGAAATAGAGAGAGAGAGAGAGAGAGAGAGAGACATAAACAACCTAAATAATCGTTCTACTCTATAACATTGCATAAAAGCATGAAAAACCCTTTTCCCCTTTGGGAAAAAAAGGGACATTCCGAACTAACTTCTGGATTTAAAAGAGATATAAATGGCAATGATACCATGGAGGATTCTCCACTGTAAATCCCCTGCCCTCTTTGATAATGGCGGCTTATACAGAGATCTCCACTCAGGTTTTACATTACATCCAGCCCCCCAAAAAAGAGCAGAACTAAACTCATGTAAATTTCCAATGATTGTTATATCTAAACGTGCTCCAAGTATTAAGAGTTCCTCTAGCAGCCAGTATGAACTTTCAGCCTTTTGAATGTAAAACAAGCTCCACACTTTTTTTTTTTATAGAAGCACTGCCTCTTTGAAAAGTCAATTTTCATCAAAAAAAGGTGTTTATGCAACCCAACATATACTCGAGTATACACAAGACTTTATACAGCTCTCCCAAGCTCAACACACCTAAAAGGGCTGCATTGCCCTCTTCAGACATCTGTGGTAAGGAAGTGAAGAGACTATTTACTTCGGTACGCCACGACTCAATCTCACTTCTATATGGCTTCTGATAAAAACCAACTGCTCTCCTCCAGATACCAACAGGGTCTATTAACACCCCCCATTCTCAGAGCGCAAGGCTTGAATTAAATGTCTTTGCCCATTTTTTTTTTCTCAAGGCTGAAAAAATCTTTGGACGGTGCATACATATGAGCTATACTTTGAAATCTAGACCGGACCAGTGCCTTTTGTATCCTATATCCCAGTAGATCATCTAACGGGGCCTTTTTCCTTAATCCAATTTCTAAATAGTACTTATCCCCAGTAGATTCAGCTAACTGTTGACATTTATTTATTTATTTCACTTTCTAAATTCTCCAAAGATCTGCTTATTTGCTTATGCCCTCAAACTCCCTTGCCCAATCAGCAGCATTTTTTTCATCACTATGTGTTTCTTGTAGTAATATAACATCAAGTTGTTTTTGTTTTATCACTTCATTCAACGTGGCTCTTTTCCTAATGTCTCTATCACCATTCACATTTAAGGTAGCCAGGCGTACTTCACTCATTTCACAAATAATTTTTTTTTTTTTAAAAAAACATCCCTCCAACACACAAAAGATCATTAGAAGTTCTTTCTCTTAATTTTTTTAACATAATTTTTACTCAACTCCTTGTCCAAAAGCCTCACAATTTTCTTCAAATGATACACTTCTCGATTATTAAAACAGCCTTCTGTCATTAGACTTCTTGTTTTTTTCGACAAACTGCTTGATGTCAGAAATTATTCTTGAATACAAACACCTCTTTTATTTTTTGTTGCCTTAAACATCTTTATATCCTCATTATTGTAACTTCGTCCAGAAAAATCGCTTTAAGAAAGCTCTATACTGGAGTCAGATGACTCACTATCACATTCAGTCTCCTGATCCTCACTACCTTGTACATTACTTTTTTGCAAGCTTTTTCACCCTGCAATTGACCAGAACTTTTCCTTTTTTATTTTTTTTTTCATCTCTGTAACAGCACAATCTACCTCAAATACTCGGATCCCTACAATGGCAAAGTCATTTTCTCTGTACCACCACATGATATTTTCTCTTCTGTGTTCCCAGAAAACTGTACCCCAAACATTTTTCCATCATTACTAGTATATGTTACATCGCGTAACTTTCCCCGTGACCACCAACTCCAGCTCAGCCCGGCTCACCCCCGGCGCCTCAGTTCGACAAAACAGCCTCAGGTGCTTCACTTGTACCGGGAACAGCATTGACATTGTTTTCTTTGTTACCTTCATGATCCTTTAATTTGGACAATTTCAAATTAAATGTCCTGATTTGCCACAACCGAAACACTTTGATTTTGCGGTTGTGTAACAAATATTATATTCTCAAATCCATCAACTCGAAAATTGAGTGAAAATTCTAACGTCTAAAAGAAACAACGTGTTTCAAGAGAGGTAATTCACTACTGATCGCAATCTTTTTGATTGGGCATAGTTTACCGTAACGAGACAATGCCTGAATTAATATTTCATCACTAAGAAAAGGGGGAACATTGGATAAAGTAACTCTCTTATGATAGTAAGAGGGGAAGCACAGTGAGAAAAAAATCACTGATCACAATCCCATGTTCAACTAATTCATTTGCTTTTTCGATACTGTTGAGGAAAATCACCATGGCATTATTCATTCTAGAAGCAGATACAATCCACTCGTGCCCCACACCTACTCCAACGGCCATGCAACATTCCTCAACACCTGCCGCGGACACCACTTTAACTGTATGGCGCCGCATGAGTGAACCCAAAGTCATGTTTCCCTGATAAGACAGGCAGCAAGAGGGCCAAATAATCAAAAACAAAAAAATACCCATAAATAAAGACGAACCCCCCCCCACCCGAGAGAGAGAGAAAACTCTCTACTCAGGTAAATCCACTCACACTCGATCCGTCCACTCGCACCCAACAATCACACCGGAACTGTGTGTGTGTGTGTGTGTAAGAGAGAGAGAGATGACACTTACTTGAAGTAGAGCTCTTTGAAGGTGAAGTGTGTTTCTACAATGCCAGTGGTCTTGACCCGAGTTCTAAGCACATCTTGTTGAGTGGGCATGTAGGTGGGCTGGGATATCCTATCCAGGTCATTCAGATAGCTGGACATGAGACAAACCATAGTGAACATTTTGTGAAACCACTTACAAAACAATATGAGACGATCAGAGTGCGAGTCTGCGTGAGCTTGGGCTGCGCTCAGTGCGCTCAGAGAATGTCTAATTGAAGAGAATTGGCACTGGCTGGTTACTTCCGGTTTATGGACTGGCTGCAGTAACACGTCTCTGTCCATGCGGGGGCGCTCACGATCGAGTGCAGAATGAATGGGAGTCTATGGGGTTTCACCCGCAGAAATCCACTTTTCTCAGGATGTAATTTTTTGTCAAGTAATTTGAAAGGTGAATTCAAAAGGGAGGGCTAAGTTAAAACACATTTTTAAGTTCACTTATCTGTTCTAAAATTCCGTTCAAAAATGTGATGATGTCACACAATAGCAGAATGCTAGCGTGTTCCGGCTAACAACGGCCTTACCTGTAAGAAATCGAAAATCAAGAAATGTTGATTCAACGACAAGCAGGAGAAAGAGACACATTTAGCCGTTTAGCTCCATAGACTCCCATTCATTCTGCGCTCGCCCGCGATCACCTCCAGTGGAATTCTAATGGAACTGCAACCAAGATGATTCACAATGGGGATAAAAGGGAGTGCCAAGGCTCTCCGTTAGACGGGCTCTGGTGCGCTGCCCTCTGGACTTTGAGCCGAGCGGATAAATGCTCTGTGTGGTGCGCGCGATTCAAATGAGTTTCGTTCCACTTTTGGCGCATAAACATTATCAAACATTTATCGGCCTCTTGTTATCGTTTTATCAAGAAAAATTATATCGCGATAATTATCGTTTTCGTTTTATCGCCCAGCCCTACCAGTGCATCATCCTGGCCTCGCCCCCAGAAGAGCTCAGAACACTACAGTCACAGCGTCAGGCCTAAACAACCCCCATATTTCGAACTACACTATGCTAAAAATGTCACAAATGAATCGGCACGGAAAGTCTACAAAAACAAAAGACTGACAGACAACCCAGAAACCCTTTTTGCAGACCTAAATAAAGATGGCAGCATAAGTAACCTGATATTCTATACCAACAAGCCCTATGCATGGCAGAAGGCCATCATTGCACACTGAAAGAAAAGGCATCCTGGTGTTTCCAGCTAAAAATGAGAAACGAGGAAGACACAACTACGACCGTAAATATCTACAAAACAACGGGTATAGAGGTGATAAAAAGCATCAATGGTCTCTTTGAACAAGACTTCCTCTGCATCAAAGCCAGAGCACAGAAAGAGACTACTACCAGTGACCAACTTATCCCTCCTGAGGAGTCAGTCTTCCACACAGACGTGGATCAGACAAAACACAGAGACTCTTCAAGCACAGAACAGACCAAAGACCCCCATCCACACTGCTATTGCACTGACATGAGGGAGAGATTCACAAATTTAGAGGGAGAAATGGTCCAGCTCAAGGAGATGATCTTCTCCCTGCAAACAATTCAGACAACAGACCAGGGGTGCGTTTCCCGAAAGCATCGTTAGGCAACAATGGTCTCAAGTGCCGTAGTTGCCAATAGAGTTCAATGGAAATTGCGACCAACTTGCGACCATAGTTGGCTAACGATGTTTTCGGGAAACGAACCCCAGACCAGCAACAGCCCCACAGCCAAGCACAGAGATAGGGACACGGCCAGGAGAGAGCTGTCTACACTGCAGACTGAGGCCCCATCCGTCCACACTACTGCGTTTTCGTTTAAAAACTGAGAATTAAAACGAATACGATCTCTGTCCACACCGGCGTTTTATCAAACAGAGTAAACTGAAATGTTATTTGGCCCTAGTACACAGGACATATGAATTGGCAGGATACCCGAGTAAAGTGAGAGACCCAAAACTTAGGATAGTCCTGAGCATGTACAGACTCAGTGAACACACACTGAGCATAGAGACAGGCAGACACAAGCAGACCTGGCTGCCCAAGGAAGAGTGACTGTGCCCTCATTGCTCAGTGAACCAAGTGGAAACCAAGAGCTTCACTTTTTAACATCCTGCCCCAATTTAAACAAGCATTAGAGACACTTTCTATCCACTTTCGAGCTAGAAACGAAGAAAGAGCCTCCTGCAGGACAGAGCTACAAACTACGTACACACCTATAGACACTATGTAAATATTAGATTTAACATTTTTATTGTAAGGTTTATTTCCATGTAAAAAAAGTATTATATAGTATTATGAATGCTTTGGCAATGTAAAGATTTCTTTCACCATGCCAATAAAGCTACATGAATCTGAGAGAGAGAGAAATCACTGCAGTACAGGCTTGTGGTTAAAATAAAGATGTATCCATCAAACGACCCATCCACTAATTCTGCCATAACACAGGAGCTCACAGCATTAAAAACTTCTATGGCTCTAGATTTGGCTCTATAGTTTCAATGCATAAAAACATGAGTTCACTGAAAGGAGAGAAGTTTGCTCTTGTCTTTGTTATTACTGGAAACATTCTCAGTGGCTACCAAAGCTGAAAACAGAGTGAAAGAATGACGGTAACATGGAAAAAAATCTGTGAGGGGGAAAAACGTTGTGCAATGGAATTCAGAAAGCCACAAATTCCCCCACAGTCAATGAGCTGGAATCTACCAGGAAAAAAAACAGGTCTGCACAAGGCTAAAGGAACTATATGCTAAACTGGGCTAAAGGAAACATAAATCTGATTTACTCCATATCAAACACTTCAAACAAAAGAATGATTCTTTGGAGACAAATTATGGTACAATGAACCAAAGGTTTTGGAAGTAAAAACAATATTTTGCAAAATAACTATCTAAAGTTATAACCCAAAATAAACATTGGCATGTTCTGTTCAAATAATTGTATACTTTATTTTAAAATACCGTAAAACTTCAAATAATACCCGAGTCCCAAATAGACGCCTGTCTCTTTTACACGCCTGGTGTGGCTGCAGGTTTGGGTAAATAAAATCTTCTAAAACCGTCAGATCGTCCGCTTTTTGGCGGCCGCCAAAGCAAATTTTTGTCCCGCCAAAGCCTTTTTTGATCGGTGAGTGATGTAGAACAGAATGACTTTATTGACACGATAGTAAAAGGTCGGAAGACTGCAGTTTCATGTGGAGCATTTGGAGATTTTTAGAGATTGGAGACTCAATGAACAACATCTCAACACTAAATTATAAAGGCCTGTCTCATATAGACGCCTGTCTCAAATACAAGCAGGTGCAGTTCGACGATTTGGGAAAATAAGTACGGTAAGTATTTGGACACTTAAATGTTTATGAATGTTACTGCATTACATAACAAAATATCAAACCAACAACATTTATTTGAAAGAAACACAGCACAAACAAAAAATCTGTTTATTTCTACATTATTTAGACACGTTCTGCATGTCAAACATGTTATCCTGATGAACTGCACCTGTGGTCACTCTGCTAGGCTTCACAGAATAGCTTGTGAAACAGAAAACCTTGGTCCATCTCAAGAAAGTGCACTTACTATGCTGCTGAATCATTGAGTTGATACTCCCGTGATCTGAGGAAACACGTCTGGACTCCTTCATCCTTCCAAAGCTGGCGGATGACCCCAGAGAGCTCAGAGGTCATGACCCCTTCCTCTGCAGTGCCCGCGAGCACGAAAAGCTGACGAGCGTCATCCTGATATTAAAAAGAACAAAATCTGAAAACTGGTCTCCTTTAATTTAAGT